CTAAGTAGCGTACTTGTATCGTCTTGATCAGCATTTTACGATTAGTGAAAAATAGCAGCTACAAGTGAGCTTATTTCATCACGGTTGATGACTATCTCCATGTCTTTGACAGTGGAACATTATAAACGAAGCAGTCAAAAACTCAGCAACTAATTGTCAGCAACACTACAATAATTTGCTAGCCCCGTATTAATCTATACATGGTATTTTACGTTCGTAGGAATAGTCAAATGAGGCTATACTTAGGCGAGGATCCATTTTTGAGAAGTTGCATTAAAGAAAATACGGTACCATATTAAAGCACACGAACTTTGTTCCATCAATCAATTGAAAACAACTGCGGAGAACATAGCATAAGGACGCGCCACTGCCGCAGATCTTATGAGGAATCCGTTGGAGATGGCGGTTGTGTGCTGTGGGGAATCTTCAGTAGTGTGTTTTGTGGGAGCGGAGCATTAGTGCAGGTATTGCCCAACTTTGATTGTTTGCATGATGTCATCCGCGCATTGCTGCTTCCTAGCTTCGTTGGTTCTTGGCGGGGCGCCATGTTTTGTGTTCAGCCGTGTGAAGCTGTCGAAGCGCCATTGCGGATTGGTTACGGTTATGGCGCATTAGCGTTATGTTTATTGTTTATTTTTACAAAGCTGGTCGTCATGGCTTCATAGTAGGAAATGGAAATTGGAAGTTTTCTGTAACTGTGTTTTAATTTAACCCCATCATTTTTGTGAGCATTGTCTTATGATACAAGTTCTGTGATCGGTAAGTTCACTTTTACCTGCTTGCCCTCAAAGCGTGCATTCCCATAGAATTGAGAAGTTGAATTAATGGTATCTACAAACTTTGAATGCTAGATGTGGTGAGTAAATGATGGCACATTACTTCCATAGGGAAAACTGTGGTGTGATTAAGTTTGGAATCAAAACAGGTGAAGTATAATATGGTATTGTTTAATTTAAGGGAAGGATGTTTGGTTGACATATTAAACAAATTTATCAGTCAGAAGTTATGGTTAGTAAATTTACAGGTTAGGGCCAGATGAATAGAAATTTAAACATGCATCAGCCAGTCTGTGCAACAGCAGAGTATGAGAAAATTTTGAATGATAATGTATGACAGTAAGGATACCCTACAGAGTAAATGCATTTTAATTAACTTATTTGCATCATATTTGCCAAAGCTTTGCTGTATTTTCCTGGCCAGTCATTTGCATCTGCTGTCATTGTTAACCATCAGTATTAGTTTCACTTTTTGCAAGTATTTTGTTGCCTGGCTGAGTGCCACAAAGTGGTCAGTGCTCCTGGGCAACCAGTATTAAACCAACAAGAAATTGAGTCTCTTCTGCATGACAAATTAAGGTTGTACCTCTTTTTAGATGGAGAGTAGAAATAGATGGATGACTCATCCATCTGTAGTTAATCCCTAATCATCATAATGTTGTGGATACCAAATTAGGGATCAGATTTTTACATGAGAACTTAATCTATAGATAAAAACATGCTTGTTATAATATCAAAAAAGTGAATTACTAAAAAGTGTTCTGTGACTACTTTTAAGAAAACAACTGCAATTGGTCACTGACCATTGAAGGGACCAATGGTTGATCCAAAGTGGCCTGCTAAGATTGAATCTTGCCTCCAGTACACATGTTTTTCATGTGCTTGCATACTAATGTCATTCTCAGTTCAGATCCACCAATTTTAATTTGAGCCCTTCAATACATGTCCCCCAGACATCAGAGATGCTGTTACACTAGTAACACACTTGATGTTAAAAGTGTGTGTGAGTCCATTGAACTGTGCTGTGTGTTATTTGCAAAGCAAAAAGTTTGATACCATTCAGAAATTGCAGGGAAGTGACCTGACATGGGACCCACCCTACTTGAGAAGCTATAGATTGTCATGCCAAAGTATGATCACCTATACTTCACTCACCTAGGCATTTCAACATAATGATTTTTGTATCATCCCCTAGCTAGATATCACACAAGGTGCAAATGATAACTTGTGTTGATAACCAGAAACTTGTGTTGATAACAGAATTGATAACAACCTGCTGGTAGCATGATGATTATGTGATTACATGATGATTGATGATAAGAAGATCAGTATAATGCTCTATTTTGTCATTGTCCACATTCTTTACGTGTTTCCTGGCTCACTATTTCATAACACAGACTGAACAGATCCAGCCCTCTTACCATCTATCTTGCTTCATCTTGCAGCCTCATCACACCCTGCTTGTTGGTAGCAGCTGCATGCATCAGCCATGAGTGGACCAGAGCCCCATGGGAAGGGGGACCTGACCGAACTGGGTATTCACACACATGCAGGGGTTAAGGCTTGTTGGCTGGACCCCCCCCCCCCCCCCCCCCAGGTGCACGCAAGTCTGTGCCATCATTAACCATTTTTCTTTGTCCCATAACCCTGAGATGATCATATCAGGATGAAAGGGCTCTAATAAAAAATTAACCAAACCATAGTACAGGCTGATTTGAGGGTTGATTTGGCCCCACCCTGCCATTTCCAAACTAAGAAGAATGAGAAATGCTACTGAACTTGGCTCAGCCATGATTTAGCAACTTCATGATTGGTGATAAGTTTTATCTGCCTGGATTAATAATGGACCCAATTATGCCAGGTCAGATGTCAGATTTTGAAAAAAATTTAGTTTTCAGCTTAACATGTTCATATGTCTTGTCTCTTGGCATGTGTCAACCATGTCCTGTTGTGACACAAAATGCAAACAACTATATTGCCTGTTCAATTTGGAGTACAAAGGTATGTAGGTTTGTGTGTTTTTGGCATATGTTTTTAATGTGTAGCCCTGTTGATTTAGGAATGTTGGCCCACCACACGCATTTGGCGGAATAGTCTCTCCTTGCTGCTGCCCATACCAGCCTGTGGTGGCTGTACAATGGTCTTCAAGTTCTCTCAATCCAAAACTAGAAATGCTAGGGACATGTTTGTGGTCCCCAGTATGCACATGGATTTCCCATATGTCACTAAAATTTTTGGTGTGATTGCATGAGATGCCAGAGAGGTATCCTTAAAAAAGCCATACCTGGTGGGTCATATCCCCTGATGGTTAACAATTGTCTCTTTGTTTCTGCAGACCCCACAATATATTTGTTTCTGGGCTCTGACAGATGCTTTCCTTGGGGGGGGGGGGAGGGGGAATTTGTCATTTTATCAGACTTCAGTCATCATTTTTCTATGGCTTTGCCAGGCAGCACAACAGTTGGTTTCATGCTATGATATGGCCATTGGGCCAGGCTACCTCTTTGGCCAGTTGCCAGCTGAGGTTTCTTTATCATCTGATCGAACAATGTTACCACAGGGGCTTGCACATAGTGTGAATAAATTGAATCTGGAATCATTTCCCTAGACCATGGAGGCTACAATAGCATGGGAGTTTGTGGCAGTGGGTAGAGTTCATTGGAAATGCAGGAGGGGGGGGGACCCCAAGAGCACATTACACAGCTGTGATGTTATCCAATTTTGGTGTTTAAGCCTTTTTGTGTGTCAGAGGGCACAACATTTGCTGTGGCATTGTTTCCCCAAGATTAAAAACTGAACTGGCTTTGGCTTTAGTTTATTTTGTAAGAGAAATGTTGTGCACACTATTTGAGTCCTTTTAAAGGCAAATCTTCACAATCAGCTGAAGGTTGGACATCTGGACCCTTCAGTTGTGAATCTGACCTCAGGTCTTAGGAATGGTCAAATGCCATGTGGTTAGTTGTAAATCTGACCTTGGGTATTGGTAATCGTCAAATTTCATGTGGTTCCAAAGTTTGCAATTGGCGTTAGTTTTCACGCAAATATTCTAAAATATCAACTAAGAAATTACAGCACAACAAAAATTATGGTGTATTCCATCATCATGAGATGGGTGTCAGTACTTTTGTACCCTTTTGGGTTCACTCGTGGAACCTGATTGTTTTGATGGGGGCTGATAAGTACCAAGAGTCGCACTGTATAGCGATATTCCGCGTGGGGGGCATTTTGCATACTTCATTCCGGTTGAACATGTCACGCATCACGCACGCATGTCTGTCACGCATCAATGTGACAGGAATGTAATTTTGCGTGGCAGTGCAGTGTTTGCTGCCATGGGGCACATGCATGTCACCTGTATTTCTGTGCAGGCATGGTCATGTAAATGAAAACTAACAAGGTTCATTTTGTATGATGTCAGCAGTAACTGCATGCATCTTAGGCACACTTGGAAGCACTGGATAGCAAAATCACAAAGCAATGTCTGTTGTTGTCTAAGGACACCCTTTTATTTCAGGCATCTGAAGACGCATTTGGTTCAGCCCTCTGTGCCGAGCTGAGCCGATATGAAGACCCGCATAGTGGACAAGAAGATCACGCGTTCGTCAGGCCCGGCCGAGCGCGGACGGGGCACGGCCCGGGGCCGGGGACGGGGGCGTGGCAGGGGCCGGGGCCGGGGCCGCGGCGCCACGCCCTCCACGGCTCGGGGCGGCCAGGCGGCGGCCGCGAGCCCGTCCCGGGCGGCTGGGGCCGGCCGGCCAGTGCGCGGCGCGCCGGGACGCAGAGGCCGGGGGGTGGCCCTCATCTCGCGCACCGTGTCGGGCGGCGGGCGTGGCCGGCCGCCGGGCAGACCGCGCGGCCGAGGTCGCGCCGGTTCCCCCGCCGGCCGCGGCCGGCCACCCGCCGCACCATCCTCCCCTGAACCGGACGACGACGACGACGAGGAGGACGACGAGGAAGATGAAGAAGATGAGGAAGAGGAGGAGCGATCACCGGTGCCCAAGCGGCGCCTGGCCGAGAGCTCGGCGTCGGCCGAGTCCAGCACCGAGGGCGACGAGAGCGGTGACGATATGATGGCGACGGCCGACGCCGGCCGCTCCAGTCGCAAGCGACAGCTGCCGGCGCGGTTCCGCGACTCTCCTCCGCAGCCGCTGGGGCGCCGCCGCACCGTCAGCAGCGGTTCGGCGGCGCGGCCTGAGAAGCCGGCCTCGCCGGAGAAGCCGGCGGTGCCGGCGCCGCCAGCGCCGCCGCTGCCGTCGCCACCGGCGGTGCCAAGCGCCCCGCTGAAGATCCCGCGCTCGCCGGCCAAGCCTGCCGAAAAGCCGCCGGCCCGCTCGCCGCCCACCATCGCCGAGAAGCTCGAGCGGCAGGCGGCCGAGGAGGCGCGAGCGGCGGCGCGCGAATCGCCAGAGAAGGCGCCTCAGTTGGTCATCGACGTGTTGACGGAGTCAATCGAACTGGACCACGGCATGCACCGGCCGGCGCCGGCCGTCGCGTCGCCGCCGCGTAAGCGCCAGCGCGTCCAGTCGCGCTCGGCCGAGCAGCCGGCGGCCGACCTGCTCGCGAGCGAGCCGTTGCTGGACGAGGGGTTGGTCGCGGACAGCGGCCCAGTCGGCCAGGTGATGGTGGCTGGCGAGGTCATTGACGAGGACGACCTGATCACGATGGAGCTTGACCCGATGGAGGTGCCGCTTCCGGTGGACAGCGTGCCGCGCCGGCCCTGCAAGGTATGCCACCGCCAGCTGAAGGTGACCAACATCAGGCAGCACATGTTGACGCATACGGGCATGCGGCCGTTCAAGTGCGAGATCTGTTCGGCGGCGTTCACGCGCCGCTCGGACGTGTTCCGCCACGTCAAGATACTGCACCAGCAGGAGAAGCCGTTCAAATGCGTCAAGGACGGCAAAGAGTTTAGCGACCGCAAGGGTCTGAAGGCGCACATGGAGCAGCATAAGCGGCCGGCGCTGTTCGCCTGCAAGGTGTGCGACTTCCGCTTTGGCAAGTTCGAGTACTACGTGAACCACGTCAAGTTCATTCACCCAACGGGGGAGCCGCTGCCGGCCTTCCCCGAGGACGTGGAGCCCGAGCCGGAGCCGGTGGCGCCGCCGCGCGGTCGCTACGGCCCCACGCCGCTGCAGGCCTACATCGACGACGACGACGATGACTCGCACACGGGCGGCGTGCTGGAGCGCGGCATGAGCGAGGAGCTGCAGCTGGCTGGCGGTCTGGAGAGCATCGAGACCGAGGAGATCCCCCACGACTCCATGCACCTGGTAGCCGGCGGCGCCGCCGAGGACGCGGACCCGGGCGGGGAGCCGGCGCACCGGCTCCAGGAGACGGCCGTGCCCGACGCCGTCGAGGGCCAGGACGTGGTGATCGGCGCCGCCGGCCATGCGTCCGACGAGCAGCGCGCTTCAGACGAGCGTGCCCACGACAAGGACGACTCGCAGGAGCAGATCGACTTCCCGCCGCTGGAGGAGGACGCGGCCGCCATTCTGGGGATGACGGACCTGGCGCTCACCAACGAGAACACGTCGCTGCAGTGCGGCGCCGCCGGACTGGAGGAGCAGACGTCGCTGGAGCCGCCGGCCAGCGCGCCTGTGGTCGTGCTCTCGGGCGCTGGCACGCCCGTCAAGCGGCATCCGGACCCACTCATATCGACGCGCACCGTGCCGCCGTCGCAGCCGCGCGTCGTCACCATCGGCAAGCCGGTGACCACCGTGGGGGCTGGCGCCGGCGGCGGCCCCAAGACGGTGCTGCTGACGCGGCCGCGCATGGTGGCCGGCAAGCAGGTGCTGCAGGCGGTCAAACTGGGTGCCGGTCAGAAGATCGTGGCAGCGCGCGTACCGGGCGGCGGCGGCGGCGCGCTGGCGGCCGGCCGCGGCGCTGGCCAACGTCAACCGATCGTGCGCCAGGTGCTGATCAACCGACCAGGCGGCGGCGGCAGCGGCGCGCGCCTGACACCGAGGGTGGTGACCACAACGCGCGTAGTGCGGCCCGCCGCCCGGCCGCTGCCGGTTACCAGCGGCCGGACGCCGGCCGCAGCCGCCGGCGGGCCGCAGATGATGAAGACGGTTTCGCCAGCCATCCGGGTGGTGCGGCCGGCAGTGCCGCCGGCGCCGCCGCCGCGGCCCGAGCCGCCGCAGGTCCCTGCCGCCGTCGCCGCTGCCGCCGGTGACGATACTAAGAACATCGAAGTGACGACGAGCACGGCCAGCGGCTCGCGCACCATCATCCTGCAGACGAGCGGCGGCGGCGGCGACATCCTGCAGTCGGAGGAGGCCATGCAGACGCTGCTGGAGGCCGTGCAGCAGCTGGTCTCTGCGTCCGGCGACACGCTCGAGGGCAAGCAGATCGAAATCGTGATGCAGAACGACGGCCAGCAGGGCGCGGCGGCGCCGGCTGGGGCCGAGTCGGCGCCGGCGGCGGTTGAGCAGGCGCCGGTGGCCGACTGAAGTAGGCGCCCGGTCACGCCGCACAGTACAAGAGCCCAGGCGCGGGGTGCAGCGATCGCTCGCCGCGTCAGGACGTCCGAGTGTCGTCCGGCCCCGGCGTATATGATACGACGAGGAGGGAGCGGCAGTGGAGAGCGCAGTTTCCGTAAATTAATGCTTTGTATTGATGTGGTGATCTCTTACCTTGATGGTTCAACCTGGCCGTTTTGTTTTGTTGGTTTTTTGTTGGAACCAGAATTCATGTAGCACATGCCCTGTTCGGGAGATTTCTTGTCATTAACATTGCGCTATGTACGAGGAGCAGTGGTAGAAACCATGGTCTAGTGTAAAAACCGGCTTGTCCGCCGTGCTGAAGCTATGGGTTCGGTCTGTCCGCGTGCACAAACCTCGTGAAGTATTTCGCATGCTGGTGAGGAATATTATCCTGCATGACAGTAGGCTATCAAATAATTGTCCTCTGCTGGCATCTGCACAGTGAACCTTAGGCTAAGAATGGGTGGGTGCCATGTACAGTTCATCCGCATATCCATATCCCGGAGTTATGCGCTGCCACATATTGCTAAACGGCAGCGCCCAATGTGTGTCACTGTCATTCATCTCTCACACAGTCTCGTTATCAACCGTGACATCATCATAATAAACTCCCACCCGGATATTACGGCCTGTGGTCTGTGAAGGCGGGCGCGCAGCACATTCCTCTCTGGAGCAAGGGTGCAGGCTACTGCCTATGCCGGCCTGCCTCTGTTTGGTGGAGACCGCGCGGGTCACGGCGAAATGCTCGCGCCAGGCGGGCTGATCACTGGACATGACGATCCACTGCATGATGTTTTGCCTGGCGTACTCAGTTTTCTCTCATAGCGCATTAGTCAGGGGAGTATGTTCTGGTACTTAAGAGGGGCACTGAGTGTATTTTGGGAAAGACAAGTGATACAATAACCAAGTTCAAAGACGCATCGGCGGCAGAACGGTTCTTCACCGAAAAAGTAAATGTCCCAACTTAAGGGGTCTTTGGAGGGTACACTCTGGCATGTTCAGAGCCGATCCTACACTGTAATGGGTTTATGTAGGCGTGTAAAAGTTCACTCTGGTCTGTCGTGGGCTCGCTCTGGCCTATGTAGGATCCATCCTAACCAAAAGGACTTATGAGCCTGCGGAGGGCCCATTCTGACCTGAAGGAGACCCATTATTACCTGCGGAGGTCCCAATACGGCCTGTACAGGCCCAACAGTTTGGCCTGTACAAAAGTTTGATACGGAGCACTGGTTGACAGTCAAACGCGTAAAAAGAGAGTGAAGAATTTATCGTCCGTAGATAAATACCGCAGGACTTAAGCTTTTAGCCAAAGGTCCGAACTTTGCGCAAGCGCAGTCAGCATCTAAGGACATTTCATCCCGAGTAGAAAAGGAGTTGAGTGTTTTGCATACGACAAACAGTGGAAAGACTGCAGACTGCGAAATGGCAGCAACACAACTAGAACTGCAACTGCATCGGGCCAAGATTGATCAGCGTCGATAGACGACGCAGCAGCACCATCAGAATCGGCGAACGCACGTTGTGGCCTCGGTGGGGCAGACGCAGAAGATCGCAACGAAGATCAGCCTCAACGAGATCGTGTCCCAATCCATCGTTTAGATTGCTAGATATTGGTAACAACTTTCCGGAACCTTGCAGTGACGAAGTAGATAGGCTATAGAAATTGGAGGGTAACGCATTGCACACGTTCAAAAGCCATAAAGTATGCAAACTTAATGTCATTGCAGATCAGCGGATCTTTATCAGGGACCTTAGTAAAAATGATGAAATCATAGTTAAACAGAGCGATAAGTGTAAGGGTTTTGTAATCTTAGATAGGCTAACTTACGTTACTAAGGCTAGGGCCATACTTAACGACAGCAACACCTATGAAAAACTGAATAGGAACCCAGTCCGTCAGGAAGAGGCTAAAAAAGAGCACTAAAGAGCAGTTAGCGGAAGACTTTCTGGCAGTTAGCGGAAGACTCTCTGACAAAACTTTCAAAGATTTAACACCCAGACACAAAAGTAGTGCGCTTCTCCTCTGTCGATAATATTTGCGGACCAATTTGAAACGAATGCTCTGGCCGCCAGCCCATTAAAACCAACTCTCTTAGCCAGATACACCGATGATTATGCTGGGGTATGGGCGCACGGACAGCGTGCACTTGAAGAGTTTTTACAGTTCATGAGCAACCATTATCCAAATCTAGCATTTACGATGGAGCATACAGGGGGCGGAAAGGGAGCCCCATATTTGGGTACGCTAGTAACGGTGGAGCGGAGGAACAACCGCGTAACGTTAGAAACGGAGCTCTTCATCAAGCCCACCAACTCCGGTATCATTTTGCAGTGCGAATCTGCGCATCCAACTTCCACTAAGCACAGCAAAATTTGTAACGCATTCCATGGGGCTCTAAACAACTCATCAAGTAGCGAAAAGGAAAGGAAGAGCATAAACAAAATATGGGCTTTGCTGTTGGGCGATGGATATTCTCCGCGACTTTTAGGTAGAATGTTGGAAGAAGTAAAAAAGTCAAGAGCGCGTGGGGGGATGGGTAGTACAAGTCCTTTTGAGGCGGGAACGCGTCCTATCGGAAGACGGATTCTTAACGCTGCCTTATATAGATAAGCATTTGCTTTGGAAAATCAAACACATTGTAAAAAATCAAAACTGCGCGTACGCATAGCTTGGAAGAATGACAAAAAGCAAAAAATGTCTTTGGTGAAATTTTCCATCTCGAAGCCTCGGTGCCCGGTTGACAATAGATGTCATTTATGCAGTTATGGGTTTCAAGAGACTTACACGCAAAAAAACGTGGTTTACGAAACCAAGTGTGGACTGTTTAAAAACATGGGAGGGACATAGTCTATCTCGGAGAGCCCTTGCGTCCTATTCGTTTAAGTTATAATGAACACCTGCGAGACGTTAAAAACAAAACAGGGAACACTCCTTTCGGTGGCCATTTTTTGGTAAAACACGCTCAGGCTGAAATCGAGGGACGTATGAACCGTACGCAGCTTTTAGAGCTGAAAGTCATCTACTGAGCCCAGGACCACCCAGACAGCAAAATCAGTGAATGTTTTGTTATAAAAAGCCGCCAACAAATTTCAACAGTCAGGACACCACATTCAACATCATTATCGATTATGCGAACGTGATATGTGCTTTTATGTGAGATGCGTGCTAGCTTTAAATCGTTTGCATGTGTAAATGATGCCTGACGCGTGATGTGCGATGCCTGTTCAATTGAAATCGCATGCATGTATAATTGATTGGCGATGCGTAATGCCTGCGTACTTCAACTTACTTGCATGTTTGAATGAAGCGTGATGCGTGATGTCTGTTTGCTTGAATTCGTTTGCATGTACACGCATGTTAGCGTATGCTAATTCTTAGTAGGCACTGTATTGTGGTAATGGCTGGCAATCGTTCTTTGTTTAATCCCCTGAATGTTGGTGTCCTATAAAACTGTGCCTTGTTGTTTCAAAAAAAAAGAAATATCGAGTAGGATCATCGGTAGGCCATTTTGAATTCAATTCTGCTATTGTTTCGATCAAGGCACATGGCTGAAATATCAACCCAACCATATCCCCATTCGCCTGGTTTTTTCTCCGAGGAATAAGGCTATTACTGCTCTCTTATCTATGTGAATAATGTTCCTCGCTAATGCACTGAGCAACTGACTTCGGGGCTGCCGCATGGCTGCTTACAGTTTCTTCAGGATATTTCATGGAGCAAAGCATGATATGGTGCATCCCTCTAAGGGATTCGGATCTGCCAGGGGATCCCCCACCCCCACCCCCACCCCCATCCTCACCGGTGTCACTATAATGGCAGCCGGAATGCACTCCGCGATTGGACGGAATGGCTCTTCAGCAATGGACCGGTAGCGATAACGTTCCCCCTGGTGTTCTTATCATGACCCCCTTGCCCAAACAATGTAAGGGGTCTCAAGAGTGTTGAACTGAGTGGATTGAAATGAGGTAAAAAATGAACAAGGCTAACTCGTGCGCGTCGGAGAGCGTTCATTCTTTTGCAGAATCGACTAGCGAAACAAATAATATACAGTTTATAGCAATAACAGCCAGTTTCTGTCCTGATTATAAATCTGAAATTCGCACAAAGACATATAGCCTGGACTTCTTTCTGCACTTTCGAACTGATGTCTTAAAGCGTTCAAAGGTACTTCTTCCAGCTGCGTCATCGTTTTCGTCTGCCTGTTCATCGCCGACTAGTTTCAGCTGCGGGCCGACTTCGCAAGGTCTATGGAGACTGCAACACCAGACGTCGAGGTTGTTGCTAAGATTTGCGAGCGCGCGTGTTCAAAGTCGTATAACGTAAATTTTCGCAAAAAATCGATTCTGACTGCATGCTGAACATTTCAAGGTGGCCATGTGTTAGTCATTTCAATAGAAGCCTTGGACCCCACTTTGATCTGCGATCGGCGTTCCAGCGTCCTCAATATTTCTTAAAGAACACAGAAAAATACGGCAAGGCGCTTGTCTCCTATCG